AGTGGAAATAAAGAATAGTGTTATAGTAGCAACACAACAGGGGGACAAGTGTTTAGTCAGTTTGTTTAGCACTGAATAAACTGTGCAGGAGAGTTAATTTGTTTGCTCTGAATAAATTTTGTAGGGGAGTTAATTTGTTTAGCACTGAATAACTGGTGCAGGGGAGTTAATTTGTTTAGAACTGAATAAATTATGCAGGGGAGTTAATTTGTTTAGCACTGAATAAATGGTGCAGGGGAGTTAATTTGTTTAGCACTGAATAAATGGTGCAGGGGAGTTAATTTGTTTAGCACTGAATGAACGGTGCAGGGAATGAAGCTGCATCAGCCTTCTACACTCACCTGTTGACTCTTCTGGACCTGTGCCAAGCTTCTGTCAGAACAATAAAACTAGGACATACGTCAGAACAATAAAACTAGGCCATCTAGAACAATAAATCTCACCATACAATCTTTTATCATAATGTATGTGGTTCGTATTGTTAACGCGACTAAAACAATAGTTTTTAAATATGCTCATCAAATATATTTTTTTAAAATCTAGGAATGTACGCAATAATTCTAGAAATGATAAATATTTAATTTAATATGACAAAAAGTACACTATTTTAACCCACATCCGAATATTTAAATGTGATGTTTTTCCCCGTCCGCCCCTTCCCCTACCCAGGCGCCCTGTCTTGCACCTGATACAAAGTGCTTGAGCTTGTTTGAACGTTTCTGTTTGATGATGCTTAATGTCAATTATCGAGCTTACCTGCGGGATGTGTCAGAACGTGAACGGAATCTTTTATAAAAGGACATCCGGGTTCTTTATGATCGTCTTGTAGTTCAACAACCTCCTCGTTAAAAAATATATTTGCTGTTTAAACACTATTTGAAAAAAAACACGAAAAGAGTATTGGGCGTGACGACAGTTCCTTACAATTTTCGAATAGGATACCACTGTAAAAATAAGGCCTATATTTACGGAGTAGGTCTACATTTATTTCCAAGGGCGTCGGTAGTTTTTTTACTTTCTCGTATATACGAAGTATAGAGAAAAGTCTTGTAATCGTGCAAAAAAAAAAAAAAAATGTAAAAAATCGAGATTTTTGCAAATTGCGACGTTTTACTCCTCCCTGAGTCGAAACAACTTAGTTTTGCAATGTTGTTCGTATGTGTGTGTGTGTGTGTGTGTGTGTGCGTGCGTGCGTGCGTGCGTGTGTGTGTGTGTGTGCGTGCTTGCGTGCGTGCGTGCGTGTGTGTGTGTGTGTAAACATGATCACTTGAGTACCGTTACAGCTAGGTTGATGAAATTTCAAATATAATTATAAGTATTATATCAAAATCGTAGATCGGTATCAACTTTTGAGCGATTTCCGATTACCGGAAGTGGCACTTATTTTACTTTTAATTTTTCAAAAGTCTATAACTTGAGTACTATTACAGATAAATAAATAAAATTTCACATGTAAGTAAAAAAATCTATTTTTCTGCTTTCCGTCAAATTTTGAGTAATCTCCGTAGATCGGAAGTAGTAATTTTCGATATTTCTGATTTCCCCCCCAAAAAAAAAACAAAAAACAACCGTATGTGAATTTATAAAGTAGTAATAATATTCCGCACTATTATACACATTTTGTTTTGCGTTCACTTGGTGTGCAATTCTTTTTTCTACGAGATTCTATTCTATTTTCAAAAGTATAATAAGTAATTAAAAATGGATTAAAAATCATGTCTATATCCCGAGTTGCCACCCCCTGATGTTTATTCGAGAAAGTTTAGGGGAGATCACTCCCGATTTATTTAGGGTACATTTTTTGTCGACAAGGTGTAATGTCCCACTTGCTTATTCTCTAGGCGTAACGTCATGCTCCAGTATACATCCGAATTACAGATTTCTGAAAATTAACTGTGATATATCATATTTGTTACTCCCCGCCAAGCCTACAAAATCCGACCTAACCTAAAAAAACCCAGCAAACCGAAACTAATATTTTGTTATGACAGATAATCAATAGAAGAACAAATTTACGACAACTGGAGCTGATACAAACAGAAGTGAGTGAAAACCGATGTTTTCTTGAATGCTGTTTTACACGAAAATAAAACAAAGAAATAATTAGCTGTTATTGTTAATATATAACAGTTTCGTGAATATTGAATTTGTATTGTCTCACGAAAGAGAAGAAACCAACATTATTTCATCAACTTCAGACGGTCATATAAAACAAAAAACTTAAAGCACACAATGTTTTTCATTAAATGTTAATTACTTTGTAAAACAAGAGATGATTTAACCTCAACCTAACTCACCACTAAAACTACGCGTTTCTCTCTAATATTCCGCACATTTATTCTAATTAAATAGAATTATGTAACTGCATATATAGGCTAGCTTCAGAATTTCATTTGGGCATCTCCCCCCCCCCCCGACAGCAAGTCAACCTAGCCCCTCTCTCACAGGAAAGAAATTGTAAAAATATATTAACTTATTAAAACTTCTGTATAGAAAAAAATATTATATACGCTGTCCTTTGTCCGCCAAACATCCCGAAAATTTAAGTTCAACCCCCCCCCTCCCAAAGTTTCAAGTGCCTCCCATGGTGAAAAAGGTCGGAAAGAAACATTGACTAACACCTAGATATAATTTATTCTTTGAAGCCTATAATTTCAGCACGAATCTTAGGGTAATCAAACTTCCTAGACCTCACTACGCAGGTAAATGTAGATTATCACTGTAGGTAGGTATAATGCACCGTTGTTTGATTTAGGCTTTTGCCACGGTAGTTCAATTTTGAAAGATCTATTTAAGACTGACGTGAAAATAGGACATTAAAAAATCCAGGATGTTTTAAGAGTTAACAAGATGATAATAGTCAGAGACATGAAAATGCTAAATTATTCTATTTTAGAAAATAGAAACCACATCTCCCACCCGCGAAGAATGTCTAGCGTCCCCCCCCCCCCTCACCACCGAACAAAATACAATTTATGTACTTAAAATTTTCGGAGGGGGTTGGGAAGGGGTTGGGAAGGACTAAATTTTTAGGGGAAGGGAGCGGGCACTAAAAAATTATATTTTCTAAATAAATTATATTTTATTATTGAGGCGGTAGACGTTCTTCAGCACCTTCCCTCCTCCCCGAAGAGTTGCCTGAAAGAAACTGAATGGGACTTTTGTCAAGTTTGAGCTTAGGTGTGAATGTGCAGTAACTACGTGTAGATTATGGTTAAATCTTTTCTTTTCCGGTTACATTTGAAGTTGAGGTGGTGATTTTGGTTTCTGTTTAGAGAAAAAGACAACACTATCAACCTAGCGCCTGTATTTCTAGTTATAAAGGTTTTACATTTTAATTTTTTTTCACTTTTTAGTAATTCGTTCTAAATGAAGTTGACGCCTCATAGACTACGACTAAGAATAGTTGCTTTAAAATCTGATCAGTAGCTTGCAATCTCTAAAAGACAGTTTTCTGCCCATTATTATTTCGTGGAAAAAAATGCTTTACCGTTGACGTCAAACTGATAGAGTAATCGCTAGTATTTAATTTTGTTTTCTCCCATTTTAATATAAAATTTAGTTATTTTTTAACTTACTTTAAATGGATAAACAAAAGTCTAATTTGATTAAAAATAGATATTCTTGCATTGTTACCAAAGACTTATGTATCTGGGAATAATTTACGCAATTGCTGCATTAGAAAAGGGTCAAAATTTAGTTACAAGATTTGCCACAACCCATTAACAAACAAACAAACGATCAAACAAAGAATAAAACAAATGTAAACACCTTTATATTAATAAACTCTTAAATGGACTGACAATAAGAAAACGAAACAAACTTGCTTTCTTTAATAAAAGTATTGTTCGCTCTTGCGATCTTCTATTTTAGTGACCAAAGCTTTTAATTAAAGAAAACAAGTTTTATTTACTTATTTTTAGTGCATTAAAAAACTATAATACAGACCTATTAAGATTTTTAAAATAGATTCTATTTGTTTATTTTCCCCTTTTTAGTAATTCTTATGTCGGAACTGAAAAAATATCTGCGTTAAAACCCGATCAGTATCTCACAATCTCTTAAATACAGTTATCTGCCCTTCTTAGTTTGTGGTCGACGCTCAGACTAAAATTTAATCACTTGTGAAAAACAGTTGATCGTGGAAAGCAGGCTAATTTAGTAATCGCGTGAGAATTTTTACTAACTTTAGACATATAAAAGTTAAATTTTAGTGATGAATTGTCAATCAGATTAGATTAAAAATGTGGTTCATAGATGAAGAAGGTATATGGAAAGTTTGAACGAAATCGCTTCATTAGAAGTTGGTTAAAATTGAGCCACAACCCATTAACAGATGCTTGGAACTAAATAAAGTTTTAAAATAGGAGACGTTGTAAACCATTTAAATACTTATAATAAAATACATAAAAACCTTTATAATAAAATACATTAATTTTGCTTCATCATAATATAAGCTTTGGTCAATCAAGAGATCTTTTACATATTTTTAGCGACATCCTTGTACTTATACGCTAAGATACTATTACAGCCCAGTCTACACAAGATACATTGATATTCAGAAAATCATACATTTCGAACACTAAGATATGAGTAAATACATTTAAACTCTTGCTATAGTGCAACGAATAAGTTCTACTGCTACGACTCTTGAACCAGTTTACTTAAATTATGTAGAGCTGCCGCAGTATCCGTATTTCTGTTGGAAATTTGAGATATTTTCGTCTCCCTAGAAGATAGAGTTACCGGATTTACTAATGTCAATAAAATTGGTATTGACATTTTACATAAGAACCAGGAAGATCCGTGTTTTCCTTTGAAAACTGGAGCAAGATATCTCAGATCCCCTATTTAAACTCACTCCTGACCCAATGCTTTCGCATTTGGCCAGGTATAAGCTCCATGTAAACTTTAAAACTGTACAACGAATTTTTAAAATCTTGTATTTCATGACATAAATTCTTTTTAAAGTTATAAAACTAAAAGTAGAATTTAACTAATGTATTTGGTATTTGTTTTTCCTCAGTTTTTCCAAAATGCGAATTTCTAGCGTGGTAACGTTCTGCATTCTGAATAGTTTGGCCAATTTTGTTATTGGTCAGTCTTTTACAGGTGAGCACAAAAGACTTAATAGTTTAAAAATTAAAACAATTTAAAACGAATCCATTTGAAAAGTAATGACGTAGGGATAGTTGGTAATAATCAGTGATTCAGAATGGATTAAAAAAAGGCGTTTATACATAAGAGTTTGAATTGGCCAGTGAAGCAAGTCAGTTATACAGTCATAAGAAAAGTAAAATTGATGATATAACGAAAAGGATTCATAAAATGCCATCGTGATTTTAGCATTGTAGATCTTGAATTTTCCTTTTTTTTTGTTTTGAATATAATTCATTATAAGGTTTTACACATTTTACCATAGGACTATTGGTTTAAGTATCACAGGTAACAGAGACGAAAACGAAAAATTCATTACAAATGGAATTTGTAATTATTTTTTTTTAACGAAGGACCTCAAAGTTTATACTTAAACTATTTCTAGCACACGTAAGAATAAATGTTTCAGCAATGCCAGTTTCTTGTCGCCAGAATGCGGTGGAAATCTTGTCGGACCAGGCGGGACTTTATCGTCACCAAACTTCCCCAGCAGCTACCCCAACAATGCCAAATGTAACTGGACAATCATGGCAGGGGTCAACGAGATTATAAATCTTGAGTAAGTTCAAGTTTGTCTTTTCGCGTTTTTAAAAAAATATATTTATAATGATGTACCACTTCGTTACCCTTCCAATAATTTTATTTACCACAAAGAGTGAATAACAAAGTTTTAAAGTTTTTCATTTCGGCAATCGGTCTCTCAGTTGGGACATGTTTAACGTTAGAACGCGCGCCTGCTAGTTAAAAAATCATAAGTTATCAACGCGGGCTGAAAACAGAAGTTCCCCTCACGCCCTAACCCGGTGGTGCGATGCACTTAGGGGAAGATTGTGGGAGAGAAAGGCCGTATTGATGTCCAAATGGAAATTCATTTTAACTCAGGGCTGTTTGTCTCCTGTGTTTCTATAGCAGTTGACGCATATTATGGGCTGCTAGCTTTTTGACAAAATCTTGTCTTCTCTCTCGCGCACTTAGAACCAACAGCGGAGTTGGTTACATACTCTGACTTTTAGTTACACACGATCTCTACGTGTCGGAAAAAAAGCCCATAATATAGTATGTATTTTTGCGATGTCGACGCTGAAACAATAAAATTAAAAAATCGCAATAGAATATATTTGTTAAGATGAACAGTTCAACTTCCTCATTTTGCTTATGTTTGCTTATGTTTGCTTATGTCTTATCATTTTGCATAATTTAGTTAACATAACTTTATGTAACATAAAGACTAACATAGGATACATTTTCAAACAGGTTCAAAACAGTCGATTTTGATGGCTACGTGGACGCTTGCCCTGATTATGCTGTTATTTATGACGGAGACGACACAAGGTCACCTGTTATACGGCAGCTATGCAGGTACAACACATCAAAAGAACTGGCAGATTTTTACGTGCGCTCAACATCAAATAAAGTTCATGTTACTTTTACATCAGACGCTTACAATCAAAGACAAGGATTCTTGGCCAACTACTGGACACATGGTAAATTACTTTTATCAGTCTTAACTAACCAATAATTATGTTTTAGGGAACAATAAATTTTTAATAATTTATGAGATGAAAAATAAAATAAAAAATATATTTTCGTAAAGGGTATACTTAAAAAGTATATATTTTCTATATAAAATTCAGATGCCTGGAAGAAACTCTGTTTATCAAAACCTTATCGTCTAGCATAATATAATTGATTGCATATTATAGTTTTAATACAATTCTCTCTAAAAAATATAGTGATTTTTGAAAAATATTTTGTGAATTTTAATCGCTCAAAATATTAATACGCATGTGTAGCTAAAGCTTTCATCAAACATTTTCTATCAAAATCTACTGGTCTACACAATTTCAACTACTTTTTTAGCCAGTACAAGAGGTAAAAAATATTATTCTAATAGTTTACTTTATTTGTTCATACATTTATTTAGCGTGCCCCCCAATGACTTACGGCCCAGAAAGATGTACACAAAACTGTGGCTGTGTGGTTGAACACACTGTGTATTGTAACAACTTTAACGGCTCGTGCACCTGTAAGAAAGGATGGACGTCACCCACCTGTGGAACCGATGTTGACGAATGTGGTCATCCCCTAATTGAAGCTTGTCCACGAAATTATCAAGTGTGCAGGAATAATATTGGAGGTTTTGATTGTGATTGCCAAGCTGGATTAGTGAAAAATCCTGTTACTGGAGCTTGCGAAGGTAGCCAATACCAATAATAATAGAACAGAAGCTACTAATATTAGGAATAAGAGTAAATAAAGTCGGATATGTATGTGTATGTGTATGTGTATGTATATGTGTACGTGTACGTGTACCTGTATGTGCATGTGCATATCTACATATGTATTTGTATATAAATGTATATGTACTCACCATTTAATCTTTGTTCAGTAGCATAGCAGTCCCGTGGCATAATTTTAAAAGCAACTATTCATTTACTCTAGTTTTAAAGTTTTTATGAAACATTTTTTTACAACTTTTAAGCTGACTCAAGTAGACCATGCAGCAGTGCTTGTCCGGGTTTATGTGGGAAGGTAACTCTTCCAGGGCAGGTCACTCCAACAGAGCAGTGCTACTGTCCGTACAACACAAAGTTGGTTGGAAATCAGTGTGTCGGTGAGTACAAATACAAAATGCAGTTTAAAGTTAAAGGAGAAAATAAACCAAGTATAAAAACCTTCATACTAAGAAGCACTAACACTAAGAGAATTAAACTATAGTAAAAGATTTGGTTGCTCATGAGATCTCTTACATAATAATTTTAGTGACCAAGCTTTTATTAAAGAAGGCAAGTTTATTTTATTTCAGTGCTTTTAAAAACTTGATATAAGAGTTTCTATATTTTTTAAAATTTACTACTTTTTGGTAATTCGTTCAAAATGAAGTTAACATTACATAGGCTACGACAAAAACTCGACTAGTAGCTTTGTTCTCTAAATGAACTGCCCCTACTTAGTTCATAGTCGACGTACGGGGCGAGAAATCAACCAACAGTGACAAAAGAAATTTTAAAATTAAAATTGAATGACTTCTTGTCTATCTAACTAGATAAAAAAAAATAGTATTCATGCTTTGCCCACGATATAAAAAAGGATCTGAAAATTTTGAACGAAATCGCTGGATTAGAAGTGCTCAAACTTAAGTTACAAGATTCGCTACAAACCTACATACATTGTAAGCTAAGAAAAAATGTGTAAATAAAACCGGAAGTGATCTCCCCTAAACTTTCTCGAATATTCTTATATATACGGGGGGATGGCAACTCGGGATATATACAATATTTTAAACCATTTTTAATTACTTAAACTTTTTAAAATAGAATAGAATCTCATAGGAAAAAAGAATTGCACACCAAGTGAACGCCAAACAAAATGTGCATAATAGTGCGGTATATGAATAGTACTTTATAAATTCACATGCGTTTTTTGAGAAATCGGAAATAGCGTAAATTACTACTTTCAGTCAACGGAAATAAACCAAAATTTGAAAGAAGGCAGAAAATTATATCTTTTACATGTATGTGAAATCTCATTTATCTATCTGAAAAAGTACTCAAGTTATAGGCTTTTGAAAAATTCAAAGTAGAAAAAGCTCCACTTCCGCTGTTCGGAAATCGCTGAAAAGTTGAAACGCATCAACAAATTTAATATAATACTTATATTTGAAATTTCATCACCCTAGCTGTAACGGTACTCAAGTTATCGTGTTTACACTCGATGTTTTACACCTCCCTGAGTCGGAAAAACATAATTTTGCAGTCTTGTCCGTATATCTGTGTGTGTGTATGTGTGTCTGTTTGTGAACACGATAACTTGAGTATCGTTACAGCTAGAGTGATGAAATGCCATATATAAGAATTAGATCAAATTTGTAGTTATGTATCATTTTTTTGGTGATTTCTGTTAACCGGAAGTGGAACTTATTCTACTTTCAATTTTACAAAAGCATATAACTTGAGTACTGTTTCGGGTAGATAAATGAAATTTCATATGTAAGTAAAAAATATAATTCTCTGCCTTTTTTCAAAATTTGAGTAATTTCTGTTGACCGGAAGTAGTAATTTACGCTATTTCCGATTTCTCAAAAAAAAAAGCATGTGAATTTATAAAGTTCTAATAATATTCCGCACTATTATACATAGATTTTTTTGGCGTTCACTAGGTGCGCAATTCTTTTTTCTTCTCGATTCTACTCTACTTTTAAAAGTTTAAGTAACTAAAAATGAATTTAAAAAATAAAAAAAACGTTTTAATAACAAGCTTTTATGTATTAATGCACTAAAAAGTAGAAAATAATTTTTTTTAGTGCATTAGTACATAAAAACTTGTTATTAAAACGTTTTTTATGAATTTTTTTTTAGTACTTTAGTTTTTATTTACACTAGAGTTTCATGACTAAAATCCATTGCGCGCCGATTGAAACATGATGACGCGCTATTGAACGTGATGACGCGTGTGGTGCGGTTCGATAGACATGCCTACTAATTCGGTTCAAATTTTAATTAATTCATAAAAAATTAATTAGGCATCCAATTAAGTCAAATTTAATGTCACGATGCATTGTCTTTATGTCTTGACCCACGTGCCAACTGTGAATGGTATCTGTCAAGTAGAAGTGTCCGAATTTTCACTCCTGCGTTTCGATCTAGACAGACTGACGACTGACGACAGACTGACGAGGAAGTGAATTAAATAAAAGCTTGTAAAAATCATGTCTACATCCAGAGGTGCCATCCCCCGTAGTGTTATATAAGAATATTCGAGAAATTGTAGGGGAGATCACTCCCGGTTTATTTTTCTGATGACGTATATAACTACAATGTCTTTTAATTGTTTACTTTCACTATTAGACAACAACATTTTACAAACATTTTACAAACAAATAAACTAATTCATAGTATTTACTTTTTTTTAAACACATTTCCTTTTTACAAGCTTTTATTTAACTCACTTCCTCTGTCTGTCTGTCTAGATCGAAACGCCGAAGCGAAAATTCGGACACTTCTACTTGACCGATACGGTTCACACTTGGCACGTGGGTCAAGACATGAAGACAATGCAATATGAAATTAAATTTGACTTAATTGGATGCCTAATTAATTTTTTATGAATTAATTAAAATTTGGACCGAATTAGTAGGCATGTCTAGCCAACCACACCACACGTTCAATAGCTGCGCCATCACGTTCAATGGCTGCGCCAACACGTTCAATAGGCGCGCAATGGTTTTTAGTCATGAAACTCTATTGTAAATAAAAACATGTAAAGTCCTAAAAATTTTTTTCATAAAAAACGTTTTAATAACAAGCTTTTATGTACTAATGCACTAAAAAGTAGAAAATAAAGTATAGACTACTATTTAAATAACTATAAAGAAAAGCGCGGATATCTTCCTAAACATTAGTAAAGGTATCCAATAGATACTAAAGTGACAAACGCTTTTCTTTATAGTACTTTAAATAGTAGTCTATAATTTATTTTCTACTTTTTAGTGCATTAGTACACAAACGTTTGTTATTTAAACGTTTTTTATGAATTTTTCAAAAATATTAATAGCTGTACAAAACATGGCTAATAACATTACAATCAATTCGAAAGGTTGTAAAATCGTTTTAAACATGAGAAAATGTATAGTTAACTTTTACTGAGAGCAATTTTACATATTGACAAGACCGTCGTGAACAATTTTATGATGTTACTTTTTTCATTTATTTTGTAAATGTGTGACCCGTTTTTAATGTCGCTTCAACAATTTTAGAATGCACAGGTCTAACTTATGGAAGAAACTGTGAAAGGAGTTGCAGCACTTGTGTAAAAAATAACACTCAACGTTGTGACAATGTCACTGGTCAGTGTATCTGTTTACCTGGCTGGTCAGGCAGCACATGTGCTGATGACGTCAATGAGTGTGTACTTAGTGGCGACCTCAGGGTGTGCAAGGAGACAGCTGGCAATTATGAGTGTGTGAACACCATAGGAAGCTATAAATGTTATTGTACTCAAGGTTTTGAAAAGGCGGCTAATGGAACGTGTGTGCGAGCAGGTAATTGGTAATTCTAAAAACAATTTAACATCTCTAGCACGCATAATAAATATTTATTTGATTATTATTAGCCCACGTTGTTAAATTACTGCTGTCATGTATTTAAAAAAAGGAACAAAAAAGAAAAAAATACGTGTTCTTCTTCTTACTTTAGAACTTAGGTGATATATGTTAGATTAACAGATGACAATACATGCGTAGTAAATACAAAAACCCCCACTCATATTCTATGGATCCACTCTGGTTCGTCCAGATGATGATTCTTAAACCAATATTTGTTCAAATGTACTTGTTTATTTAAAGGTAACTTGAATCATGATTATGAATCCTCATTCAATATCTAAATGTTGTATTATAATAACAGCTTGCAGCTTTATCTTGAACGCAAGTGAAGGAAACATCACGTCACCATATTACCCAAATTATTATTCATCTACAACACCATGTTCATGGACAATTACTGTGCCTCAAGGGAAATCAATTACTTTAAGGTATATTTTTACTTTCTCATATATACGAAACATAAAGTCTTGTAATCGTGCAAAAAAAAAAAAAAAAAATCGAGATTTTTACAAATCTCGACGTTTTACACCTCACTGATACGGAAAAACATAATTTTGCAATCTTGTCCGTATGTCTGTCTGTCTGTGTGTGTGTAAACACGATAACTTGAGTACCGTAACAGCTAGGTTAATGAAATTTCATTTATATATAAGTATTTTATCAAAATCGATCGTAGATCCATAACAACTGTTGAGCGATTTCCGATAACCGGAAGTGGTACTTTTTCTACTTTGAATTTTTCAAAAGCCTATAACTTGAGTACTTTTTCAGATAGATAAATGAAATTTCACATGTAAGTAAAAGATCTAATTCTCTACCTTCTTTCAAATTTAGAGTAATTTCCTTCCACCGGATGTACTAATTTACGCCATTTCCGATTTCCCAAAAAAGCATGTAAATTTATAAATAACTAATAATATTGCGCACTATTATGCACATTTCATTTGGCGTTCACTTGTTGTGCAATTCTTTTTTCTACGAGATTTTATTCTATTTTAAAAACTTTAAGTATTTAAAATGGAGTTCCCATCCCATGTTGCTTTATTTAAGAATATTCGAGAAAGTTTAGGGGAGATCACTCCCGGTTTATTTAATGAAATTATCCACTTATCTTTGTGATTACCCATCGCAGAGGGACATCTGCACTTGAAGGCAGATTTACGCTAGACAAAAGCCAGCAAAGAAACGTATGTCTGTGTTGATGATAACTAAAAACACTTTTTTTACGTTACAAACCTGAAGATCTAACTACTTTTATGAAAACTATTTCATAAGCTTTGAACATTAATGTGGTTAATTCTTTCATCATTTTATTTTTTATGCATTTTCTCATCTTATAAGTTTGTAAAATGATATTTACAAAATATAAGTTTATTTAGTCTTTTGGTGGTTTGTTAAGTTTGACTAATTCATGTGTGTATATCTTACAATTATTATGTGTAAAAAGAAGGAAATAAAATACAAATGAAACTCAATTTTTAAAAATGTTAAAAGTGGCTAAACCGTCATAATTACTACAAATATATTGTGTGAGATATTTTGTCTGAGATATTTTGCCTGATATAATTTGTCCATGATAACATTTGTCCAGATATATTTTGTCCTGAGATATTTTGTCCGTGCGAACATTTGTCCTTGAGATCTTTTGTTCTGAGACTATTCGTCAGTGATATATTTTGTTTGGGGTACTTTGTCTGATATCATTTGTCACCATCTGAAAGGGTAATTTCATTTTACTCGACACAAGTTAACATAATTTTTGTTTTGTTTCAATTCTCAGATTTGTCATTTTGTTTGCGCACACGCAATTCAACAGTTTTCTAAATATTTTTGATGGACCAAACGCTGATGCTTTTCTACTAGGCCGATTTCACAGTGTATATAACAATAATACACTCACAATAAAATCAACTGGAAATGCAATGCATTTGAAATTTAACTCCAGTTACTACATATATGGACAGTTTTATGGATTATACACTACAAATGGTAGTACATACTTTAAGATATTTTTTCCATACTTTCAATATTCGATTTAATTTATAAAATGTTATTTTTTTCAATGGACAAGTAAAACCTCGTTTTAGGCATACAACAATGTTTGAAGCATTTGTTAAAATAATGGCTCTACTGTATTCTTGCAAGTGTATATCAATTCAAACTTTAAAGAGCTTTTCTTTATAATTTGTAAATAATATTGTTTATAACTTACAACTGTAAAGCTTACTCTATCATTAAGATATGATATAGCTTAACACACATTATTAATATAGATCATATAGTTTACATCTTATTATGATATTTTATACAATGTGTATGTTGCCTTATTTGTTACACACATGCTAGTATTGGTTTAGCTGTTTTCACCAACACATATCACGTTTAAAGCATTGCTTCAGGTTGAGCAGGTATACCAATGCTTTAAAAAATAATGTGTAAAAAATGTAAAAAAAAGTATCTTATTGACATCCTCAGCGCATGAGGTGCTCTTATTTTAAATTTGTTTTTGGCACTTAAACTATTGCTGCGTTGTTAAGTAATCAATCTTATGTTATATCTCATTTTTTTAGATTATGCCAGTGGCTGTACACAAATCATAAACCCAACGGATGAAAAACAGATACTGAAAAATCCTGGCTACCCAACATATGTCAACAACACTGTCTGTTACTGGGCAATAAATGCACCTGTTGGATATAATGTTTCTTTGAGGTATAAATATAAACGAACACATAAGAAAACATTAGATTATAAATGGGATTCGTTAATACCAAATGATTGTTTATTCATCAATTTCATAAAAATCTCGTATCGCACTTCGATAAACGGTTTGTCATATATTTTTGCAAATACATCCGCTGCAGCCTTTAGTTAATTTGAGTTTTTGTAGAAGGCTGCGACGATGAAATAAATAAAACAAAACAGCCAATTTTGAGTATGAATGCTTTAAAGTGGATTTGGGGAAATTTAGGCTCATCCTAACTTAGATAGAGACATTTGTTGGAGTTTCAGCTGACTTTATACATTATGACATGGTACGATTTGGCTAGGGATCTAAGGTATTGAGCTTTATCGACGCAGTGCTTTTGCCCAGGGCCCTTTTGATTATGTCCATTTGACGACATTCGAAATTGAAAAGATTTTTTACATTGAAATGTTTTGACGTAGCAAAAAAAAATTGTGCTTAATCGCTCCTTCCATAAAACATCTTTTTAAAAAAAAAACAAAAAACAACAATCAAACCACATGAAAACAGTCCATAAAAAAATTAAAATACAAACATTATAATATATATATATATATATATATATATATATATATATATATATATATATATATATATATATATATATATATATATATATATATATATATATATATTTCAGAATCCAATATAAGTGGATAGTTTTTTTTATTTTTCTAATTCAACCATTAGCCAACAGATTTTAGCTATAATTAGGATTATATAACGTTTTGAAATTAAAAATATCAGGTTTTTAAAATATATTTTCATATCATTTCCAGTATTTTAAAAATTTAATACAAAACAATTTTTTTTGTCTTAAATTGTTCAGATTTACAGACTTCTCAATGGACAACCAGGGCAAATCATTTCTTAAAGTTTACAACCCCAACAGTGCCTTTTTAGATGTCAATGGACTATATTATGGGTCAAATATCCCAAAAGCAATAACTTCAACAACAAATACATTATATGTTTTGTTCCAATCTGACGGGTCTGTAGCTGGCAGAGGTTTCAGTGCTATGTTTCTGAGTATGTACATAATATCGACTATAGTATAATCTGTGTAATATATATAAATGAAGTGCTTTTGTTTTTGTTGCACCTGATTACTTTATACAGTTAAAATACCACATCTGCTTTAATTATATCACTTCTTGCTTGCGTTTTAATATATCAACGAAGTTATTATGGCAATACAAGTAAACCAACTGCTTACAAGTAAATGATATACTAGATTTCTCAACAATTGGTTTCTTGAATAATTATTTGTTTGGAAAAAACAATGTTTATCTAAAGATTATCTAATTAAAAAGAAATACAATAAAAACAATTTTGAGCATAGCATAGTTTAAAAAATTCCCCATACATTTCGTTTTTTGAAAACTCACTATGTTTTTTAAGATGAGAATTTATGTAACTATTGATATATATATATATATATATATATATATATATATATATATATATATATATATATATATATATATATTCTTCATATTTTGTTATATTATTTATAACTTTAAAATAATTGTTTTGAAAAGCAATCTGAAAAGTACATTATACATTTACTTTTATTGTTATGTTAACTAGCGATAGGTAATACTTCAAAACTTTTCTTACAGGATGCCTCCCATTTTTCTATGGTGAAGAAAAATGTACCACACCATGCAACTGTGTCAAGAACAACACACAATATTGTGACAGTTTTAACGGGGCATGTACCTGCTACCCTGGGTGGCAATCAGCTACATGTGCTGATGATGTTGACGAATGTCTGAGTAATCCTTGCTATCGCACTGAAAAATGTGTGAACACTATAGGAAGCTACAGATGTGTACCTGGTATATAGGCTAACTCTTATTTTTTGAAGGCACTCGCCAAAAAACAAAAAAATTACACATTCTAATCTATTGTAATTTATCACTTTTAGAATCTAATCTATTATGTTAATGTTTTTTTACAGCACCAAATTCAAATTAACAAAGTAACCTACATATTTTAACTCTAATGATAACTCTCATTATAATAAAAAGTATTAATACGTTCATTAAAAATCTAAAAAAAAATAATATTATGTTTTTATGCAGATTGCGATAGGAACATCACTGCTGTGTCTGGAAGTATTTCTACTATTGGCTTTCCTAACTATTATTATAAGAATGCTTCATGTAAATGGAGAATACAAGGAGCCCCAGGTCAAGTTGTTACACTTAGGTAATCATACGGCTACTTTTCACATAAAATACATCATACACAAAATACATAATACACGTCCATACATGATATGACGTTTTTCATCACGACTTTTTACACATCCTCACACATCTTCACGAAAAGATATCACACTTTACTTCCAAGCAATTGTATTTTGGAAACAATTTCTTTTAAAATATTGATTGGCCTGGGTTGGTATCAAGTATTTCGATGCAAATGTAACAATTGTTTTGACATAGTCGTCAGATAAATTTAAAAATTAAAATAACTTTAAAATGAAAATGTTTGACGTCACGCTTACTCACTCCTCCTTACCCCACTTTATACTCGTCACATCTGTCGTGAAATGTGATGTAATGGACAACCCATTACCTTACATTTAAAAAGAAAATTACAAATAATAAAGTTTAGAATTTCCAACTGCTTACTGAATATCATTTTAATCTTATAGTATCAAGAATCAAGACTTTCAGCTGACTGAGCACAGAACTTGCGATTATGACTCCTTAAACATCTTCAGCGTTATTAATGCAACAAGCACACAAATAGGCAAATACTGTGGGAGAAGAATACCACCTTTGATTAGGACCAGTGGTAACATAATGGAGATTCAGCTCACAACATATCCTTACTGGATCACAAATGGAGGTTTTTCTGGTGTTTTCTACACACACAGTAAGTATCTGCTCTTAAAATTCGTAATGTATTTTTTCTGCCTTGCGGATAAACATGCCAGATAAGCATTTTGATCGGTACAAATGCTTTAGTTAAAGCATTTTATTGTTGAACTGTATTAAAATAGCTGTTAACACATATTTTATTCAGCATAGAAAATAACGCCAAGCAGTATTAAATAGTTGATTAGCATAACAAAGATGTATGCTTTTTAATCATCAATAATTTCCTTTAAAGTTACTTTATTTTCATAGTTGTTAAAATTGGTGAAAAAAACACTTGAGGTTAAAAAAACTGTTCCTGAATTTTTACTTATTTTCTACTGAAACGATACAATTTTTGTTGGAATGCATTATTACTTGCTAATTTTGTTGGCTACTTAAGATATATATTGAGTCGTCTATACCTGAGATCAAACTCCTGCTTGGGATTTAGGGAGTTGGGGAGGGTGGAGAGGTTTTTTTTTTACAAAACTGCCATATATTATTTTATTTTCTTAGTATGCAAGGAGTTTATGTACGGACCTACGTGTCGATTCAAATGTGCATGTGTCAAGTCTAAAACACGGTTCTGTGACAACACCAATGGTGTTTGTGTGTGCAAGTCTGGGTGGACAGGTGACACCTGCTCTGAAGATGTTAATGAGTGCAACTACAACACCTGTCCAAATAATGAAGTTTGTAAGAACACACCAGGGAATTATTCATGTGAATGTCAACTAGGATTTAATAGGACAGCATCTGGACAGTGTCAAGGTTTGTCAGAAGTTGCATTCATTGGTCATTTTTATTATAAATTGTAACCTTCAATATGCTAACTTCGCAGATTACTAATTTATAAAGCAAATTAAATTTAAAAAAAAAAAAAAACAACAACAGCAACGTAAATAAGTTTTCGAAAAGAATAGTATAAGGAATATTGATGATTATTTAAACCGTATTAGGTCAATAGGACTGTTATTATAACTTTCTAAAATTATTACATGCATTAATAATAAAGGTGTGCTTACTTTTTTCTTTTTATGATTTTTTAGGTAAATGAAAGCAAAAATAATTTAAAAAAAATTATATCTAATATTTGTTATTAATTTATAAATTACAATTACCAGGAATCAGCCTCAATTGTGTAACATCAAAGAACAAAACATGTTCCCACTTCTGTTATCCAAAAGCTGGTGTTGTAAAATGTACTTGCCCTGAAAACATGGAAATTGGAGCAGTAGAAAACCAGTGTGCTGGTGAGTAGACAATTTGATAGTCATAAAAAAGGTTTTTTGTACATGTGTACTTTATATAGTATTTAAATAAGGCTTTTGTGGTCAGTGTTTCTTTCAGACGTTTTTTTTCCAAGGTTGGAGGCACTTGATATTTTCGCGGGGGTGGGGATACTAAATTTTCCTGAGGGGGGGGGGGGGGCGGACACAGGTAAAGTATATATTTTGTATTTCAAATACACTTCCTTCGGGAGGGGGGGGGGTAGAGGGGGTGGGCTGTAGACTTACTTTGGTAGGGAGGGAAGGGGCATAGATGCCTGGAAGAAACTCAGGTTCAAAAGAACATACACACAAGGACCACGAATGAAAAAACGATGTTTTGAAAGCTGTTTAGTCTTTGAACTCACAATAACGTCAGATCAGTCTTAAAAGTTCTTCTTTGGGATTATGTCAGTCACTTTTTCTCTCGTTCTTCAACTGTACCAAAGACAAGAACGATGTGCTCAAACGCTAATATTCTTTTGCATCTAACAAGTTCTGCACAATGTCGAGCTATAGGGCCTACATCACTTGATTACTTTTTTAAAAAGCAAACAAATATTTTTAGAAAATAGAATTTCAACTCTGTGTCTACAAATTAAAAAAAAAATGTATTAACACACATAAAATTACGATTGTCTGGTTGACTTAAGATGGATATTCCAATCTAAAATGCTTCGATTCATAACGCTCTTGCTCACATTCCTCTATTGATGGCTGGTAAGGAGAAATCTGGTAGCCTAGTTATTAGTAGCTCTAGATCTATATCACTGTTCATTTAATACAAATAGCAGGAATAGTACTAGAAACATAAAGAAATACAAGTGCTAGCTGTTTTTTAAAATGTATTTTGTTCAAAATATACAGTATGTTACCATATTTTATCTATTTTTTAAAAAACCTTAGTGACCCTGTACCCTTACGGGGCTGATAAAGGAGATTCTGGTCTAATGAAAGATGCCAAGAACGGCCAGTATGTCAGCAAATCTATTGTATTTGCAACTAAAGTGCCAGTTGGTTTTAGCACGGAGGATGAGGCATATGTAAGTCTGCGCCTCAATTTTTAATTCATTTAGGTATTAAATTGTCAATGGATATAAATATTTTGACACGTGTTCTAGATCTAGTATACAAAGATTGTTGTACAATGATGAAATTTTACCTCCTAGATTTTTAGTGATGGAGTCATTCGGTTTGGAGGAAAAACAATTAGTAGTAGCTACGACCTAGCAGTACAAAATGGCTTTAAAATAATAGCCCCATACTGGGCAACATTGGACCCAACAAAAGGAGAGGTTTTCTACCATCTGTATGAGAGCTGTGAACCAACAGTTTTCTCTGAAAGTGCCACAGTGACGTCATCGCCTGCCAAAGCTAAAGTAATGGAAAGGGCAGCTCAAGATGTCAGAAACACTTATCGCTTCTATGACTTTAAAGTTAAAACTGTGCTGGTTGCCACGTGGACAAATGTGCAAATACTAACACAGGCTGTCTTGGTAAGGTATTTTTTTAAATATGAGATTTCCGTGTAGTTACATTTTCAACAACATTTATCAAAATATACTCATTCTAAAAATAAATAGAAAAGACTTTACACTTATTTAGTAATTGTACATATTTGGTGAAAAATTATATTTATCTGCATTGTAAAAAAGTAATATTTATTTTAAAAGGAAAATTTTGTTTTTTTACATATGAAAACAAATGTCAAATTAGTTTATTTTCAAATTAATTGTTTTAAATGTTTTTTAAAGTAGATGTTAAACTATATATATACATATATATATATATATATATATATATATATATATATATATATATATATATATATATATATATATATTGTATATATATATATATATATATATATATATATATATATATATAT